TTAAACAGAGTTCACCAAACCACACACTAGAAAGTGAAGGGACGACGACGTTTCGGCCCGTCCTGGACCATTCTCAAGTCGATTGTGTGTGTGGGACAAGCAGTGGTTATCTTGAGATGAGATTATTTTGAGATGATTTCGGGGCTTTTTAGTGTCCCCGCGGCCCGGTCCTCGATCAGGCCTCCACCCCCAGGAAGCAGCCCGTGACAGCTGACTAACACCCAGGTACCCATTTACTGCTAGGTAACAGGGGCATAGGGTGAAAGAAATTCTGCTCATTGTTTCTCGCCGGCGCTTGGGATCGAACCCGGGACCACAGGATCACAAGACCAGCGTGCTGTCTGCTCGGCCGATCCTGGGACAAGGGACAGTGGGACAAGGTGACCAAGAAAATAGACTTGAGAATGGTCCAGGACGGACCGAAACGTCGTCGTCCCTTCACTTTCTAGTGTGTGTTTTGGTCAACATATTTCAGCCACGTTATTGTGACTCCTCGTCTGCACAGGTTAAAGAGGGTAACTGGCAGGATGGTATATTATATTAGAGAGTACTTGCGTGATTTGACAACACCCAAATCTAGTGGAAGTAACAAGTGGAGTTAAATAAAGGGGTCATTACTGATATCAATCACTGACCTGATTGAGGACATTGTTGCTTCATGTTATTGGTTGTTATTGATACAACACTGATGAAGAAAACAACCTAATAACCGGGGATGCGTCAGGGGTAGTCAAAGAACTGGCTAATGGACTTCAATCCAGATACATGCAAGGTATCATGTACCTCTCCCTCTACTAGGCCTCCCACAAGACCACTCCCTCTCCCAGGCCTGCCACGAGCCCTCACCACCCTAGCACCCCTCTCATCACCCTAACACTGTACATGTATTACCTAGGACACCATCAATTAACCCAGTAGCAGTAAATACTGGCTGTTGTCAGAACACAATCTGCCCGGTATAGAGCACTAATGGAGGTAATATTGCAAAAGATGGCGCAGTTTCCCGCACAGATATCGGGGGCTAACGAGTGAGGGGGGCTGTGTTACTAGGGGGGCGTAATTCCCCCCTTACCCCAACAGTCACCACACCCCCCCCCCAATACGAGAGCAGGTTGGACAAGGGGGCAGCGAGGGGTGGAAGCAGAGGTACAAGGTGCCAGAGGAAATCTAATCCACAGGAAAAATGAGAGATCAATAGTGACATAATGAAGTATTTGTCAGCGTGTTAAGGCCGAAAATCACGGGGATTCATAGAGAAAAATGGGGCATCCTTACCTCGCCAGGGTGCCACACTTCTGCCCGTGACGAGTGCCACCTCCTCCTCCTCCGACCCTCACCGGTCGGCTTCCTACTGCTGTAACAGGTGTGTGCACATCTGTAATGAACCTTGTAATTGTTCCAATGTTGCAAGGCTCACTCATTCTTCCACAGTAATTTTTCTTTCAGTTTGAGGTCAATTGTTATATATATATATATATATATATATATATATATATATATATATATATATATATATATATATATATATATATATATATATATATATATATATAATATATATATATGCAACAATGATCACAAAAACACTGATACAAGTATGTGGTAAAACCACATTTGAAAAATAGAAAAACGCTTAACGCGTTTTCGGCTAATTCACCTTCCTCAGAGCAAAGTAGAATGAAGTAAAATAACGCTTTTATATATATATATATATATATATATATATATATATATATATACATATAATATATATATATATATATATATATATATATATATATATATATATATATATGATGCAATGCTTCACTTCAGGTATTAAAGCAGTGCAAGCTTGAGACTCGACACATAAACATACATAAATAAACGGGACAGCCTCAAAGGGACTGTGTCGGAGTGCGAGATTGACACAACAAACAGTCTGGCTGATCACGTCGCCCGCCAGGCAGGGTCCTGTCTCCCAGGACTGTCTTACCAGACACCTAAGTGGACAGGTAACATCCCTAGCCACAAACAACACAAAACCAACATTAAGTCACTGCCGCTCACAAAGCCTAGTCTCCCTCCCCCTCAGCCCCAGTTCTTCACCCCCCCAGCCCCAGTTCTTCACCCCCCCCCAGCCCCAGTTCTTCACCCGCCCCAGCCCCAGTTCTTCACCCCCCCCAGCCCCAGTTCTTCACCCCCCCCCAGCCCCAGTTCTTCACCCCCCCCAGCCCCAGTTCTTCACCCCCCCCCCAGCCCCAGTTCTTCACCCCCCCCAGCCCCAGTTCTTCACCCCCCCAGCCCCAGTTCTTCACCCCCCCAGCCCCAGTTCTTCACCCCCCCCCAGCCCCAGTTCTTCACCCCCCCCCCAGCCCCAGTTCTTCACCCCCCCCCCAGCCCCAGTTCTTCAACCCCCCCAGCCCCAGTTCTTCACCCCCCCCCCCAGCCCCAGTTCTTCACCCCCCCCAGCCCCAGTTCTTCACCCCCCCAGCCCAGTTCTTCACCCCCCCCCAGCCCCAGTTCTTCAACCCCCTCCCTCCCTTCCCCCATTTCCCAGTTTTCTTTCTCAATCTCTTTTTCAACATGCAAGAGTAAACATCCCACTAATTAGTTGGTGGACATCAAAAGCGATCCAGATGAAACAATTTTGATAATAAATACACTTTTCCTAGCGACGATACCACTGTTTAACAGACCATTATGCTCCAGTCTACCTTTGCATTAGTTTAAATTATATATGGTCTGTCTACCTGTTATTCCCCGGTCACTGGCGTATCTACACATCTACCTGTCTATCAGCAAATCCATCTGTATACCTACCGACTTATTTAACTGCCAGTTTATCCACTTCTCTGCGCATGTATATCGATAATTTGTAGCTTGTTAGGATTGAATTACCTTCCTGCTTGCCTAACTGCTTGCCTTCTTGCCTATCTGCCTGTCCACTCCTGCTTTCGCAGAAAGGTATCTTGCCTTGAGCTCTTCAATATTCTACGTATTCTACGTATAACAGATATAATGATGGTTTGATTTTGTCGTCCGCCCCCCCCCCTCTCCCTCTCTCTCTCTCTCTCTCTCTCTCTCTCTCTCTCTCTCTCTCTCTCTCTCTCTCTCTCTCTCTCTCTCTCTCTCTCTCTCTCTCTCTCTCTCTCACCAGTTGGGCAACAATAGCAGCATATTAACCAAGGTAACGAATTTACAGATAGGAAAAGGTAGATAAAAAAAACAGATCTACACGTTAACAGCAGAAGAAACGTTGTTGGTAACGCTGAAGATAACGAGAATGATCCCCCTGAAGAGGATAAAGAGGAGAGGTGTGCCTTGGTGAGCTTCAGAAGAGGATAAAGAGGAGAGGTGTGCCTTAGTGAGCTTCAGAAGAGGATAAAGAGAAGTGTGCCATGGTGAGCTTCACAAGAGGATAAAGAGGAGAGGTGTGCCTTAGTGAGCTTCAGAAGAGGATAAAGAGAAGTGTGCCATGGTGAGCTTCACAAGAGGATAAAGAGGAGAGGTGTAGCTTGGCGAGGTTCAGAAGAGAGCCTTGTAAGGGGCCCAGGACGCCAGCGAGACGCGACCAGAGGCACAAAGACCGCGGCCAAGACCGCGAGCGACGCCCCACAAAAGATCTCCCGCGAGTTGATGTCGCAGAACACAGGACAACAGAACCAAACCAGCGCACAATGGAGGAAAATTGTGAAATGGATCCTTGGACCCTCCTGAACAGCGGATGAAGCCGCCGCTGATTATGATGAGGGAAAGAACACAGATAATCATCACTCCTGAGTCCACGAGGCAACGGAGGACATGACAGCGAAGGGAGGAGGAAGAGGAACGGGAGAGAGAGGAAGAGAGAGAGAAAGAGACAGGCGAGAGGAGAAGGTAATCAGACCCGAAACGCAGATCACCAATGTTTTGTCGACCTTGTATCAATATCCAGACGTTGGGAGCCCTCGTTATTAGCTAATGCATACTAATCACGTCTTCCAGGGACTCCACGACTCATTATTAGCTTAATAACCCCCGCAGATGGAACTTGCTCCTATGAAAATATTATTTGTCCACAGCCACACTCCAATCTCAGAAGCAATTATCTGGATTCAAAGACTGGAATGCAGCAGGCAATTGTCTGAGCCAAGGACTGGAATACTAGACTAGATAAAGGAACTGTCTATATCCAGTTCTGGAATGGTAAAATACACCTAGAAACTACGTCACGGAATGGAATACAGGAATATAGAGTTGTATACATACACAATTTTGAATATGAGTATACATAGGGAGGGAATTTGGGGGGAATTTCCATGTCACGGAATCCCTGAACAGGTAGTTCAGGAATTATCTGCAACTAGCCCTGGAATAATGGTACAGTGGTTGATACAGACGCACTGTAACAGTGACAGTGGTTCTAACAGTGAATACACAGTCACTGTCACCACCTCTATACGGACCGTGAAAAGCCTTTATTTCAGAATAAGCCTAGTGTAGGAATGTAAAGTTTTATCAAAATAACGACTCTACTCCCAATTAGACTGTTTAGTCATTACAAGAACACAGAGAGTCTTAACCAGGACTTTAAAGTTTATTATGAGAGGCTGTGAATATCTTCTGAAAGTTCAATTACTCATTACAAATCAAAATAAATTTTTTTATTATTTTTGACAAGTGCAAAAAACAAGAGGAAAGCAAGGTATGCTAAAAAAAAGGTCCAATTACTGTTTAGACTACAGACTGGAACATTAAACTGTAATAACTGGAATTAGTACAGTCGCTACCTTTTCTTCAGCTGGAACACTGGATAATATAATTGGGATGAGTTCAGTCGATATATTCGATACAGACTGGAACACTGTATAGTATAACTGGAAGGAGTACAGTCCCTGTCTTTGCTACAGACTGGAACACTGTATAGTATAACTGGAAGGAGTACAGTCCCTGTCTTTGCTACAGACTGGAAATTGGGAATTAAGCAAATCATTGTTCACATTACTGAGTACACTGTTTTCTACCCCACGGATTGGCATATGGAGAAGATATCTTCACAACAAGGGCTGGAATACTGGAACAATAGGAGGATATCTTCCCAACCAGAGCTGGAATACTGGAACAAGGAGAGGATATCTTCCCAACCAGAGCTGGAATACTGGAACAAGGAGAGGATATCTTCACAACTAGGGCTGGAAAACTGGAACAATAGGAGGATATCTTCCCAACCAGAGCTGGAAAACTGGAACAAGAAGAGGATATCTTCCCAACCAGAGCTGGAATACTGGAACAAGAAGAGGATATCTTCCCAACCAGAGCTGGAATACTGGAACAAGAAGAGGATATCTTCACAACCAGAGCTGGAATACTGGAACAACAGGAGGATATCTTCCCAACCAGAGCTGGAATACTGGAACAAGAAGAGGATATCTTCCCAACCAGAGCTGGAATACTGGAACAAGGAGAGGATATCTTCACAACTAGGGCTGGAAAACTGGAACAGGAGAATATCTTCACTACAAGAGCTGGAAAACTGGAACAAGGAGAGGATATCTTTACAACAAGGGCTGGAAAACAGGAACAAGACGAGGATATCTACACACCAAGGGCTAAAATACTGGAACAAGGAGAGGATATCTTCCCAACCAGAGCTGGAATACTGGAACAAGAAGAGGATATCTTCCCAACCAGAGCTGGAATACTGGAACAAGAAGAGGATATCTTCCCAACCAGAGCTGGAATACTGGAACAAGGAGGGAATCTCTGCACACCATGTGCTAGACTACTAGAGCACTTAGAAGAGGTCTTCGTGCCCTGACAGGGGAATACGGGAGGCAATTCTCCGCAACATTACAGAAACTCAACACCCGGACCGGCGGAGGCACTAAATAATTAACAGTAGCCTAGTCACCGCCACACGCCACCCATCCCCACGAGAACCACAACTCACCACCACTATACCCACCACCAACACCACCACCACCACCACTATACCCACCACCACCATCAACACACCCACCACCACCACACACACCAACCCGTTCTCGCAAATTTAATAAGTCAATATTGACTTATTAAATATGTGCATAGGTGACATACTTAACATAATAGATACCCTTAAAAAGATTCATAGAAAACACCTACCTTACCTAACCTACTTAGTATGTTAAGATAAGCATCTTATTGCTTCGTAATTACAATTATTACCTAACCTATAATAGGTATAGGTTTAGTAATAATTGTAATTACGAAGCAATAAGATGCTTATCTTAAGATACTAACAAGGTTAGGTAAGGTCGGTGTTTTCTATGAATCTTTTTAAGGGTATCTATTATGTTTAGTATATCACCTATGCACGTAGTTAATAAGTCAATATTGACTTTACGAATTTGCGAGAACGGGTTGCACACACCAACCCACCCACCACCACCACCATCAAACGCCGTTGTTGATTCCTGGAATCGATGTCCCCGCGGCCCGGTCTCTGACCAGGCCCTCACGGTTGGTAGTCTGACCAAGCAGACTGTTAGGCTCCGCTGCTCTCAGTCTCACGTATGAGTCACAGCCCGGTTGATCAGGTATCAGGTATAGGTAACTTTACCACATTCCCATCTGAATACCATGAGAGATTAACTAGTTATTCCCCTTATGTATTGAGATAGCAGCACATCCATCTCCACCAGCAGACCCATCACCACCAGCAGACCCACCACCACCAGCAGACCCACCACCACCAGCAGACCCATCACCACCAGCAGACCCACCACCACCAGCAGACCCATCACCACCAGCAGACCCATCACCACCAGCAGACCCACCAACACCAGCAGACCCATCACCACCAGCAGACCCATCACCATCAGCAGACCCATCACCACCAGCAGTCTCACCAACACCAGCAGACGGCCAAACCAGGCAGACCATCACCACCAGAAGACCAATTAATATCAGCAGAGGCGGCAGCAGACCGCCATCACCCCCAGCAGACGACACAGGAAGATCTACCAACACACACCTCCACGAGATTGAAAATACGCTACCGACCGACCGACCGACCGGACGGCCGGACGGTCGGTCGGTCGGTCGGACGCCAAAATTATAAATCCGGCAGCAGTAAAAGTAGCCAGAACTAATCCACATTAGGCGAGGCATTTAGCAGAGCAACGATGCAATTTATGCCACAACTGCCTCAATAAAAGTGCCATTATAAAACGGGAATGGAATTTACAGTGACATTAGGACAAGACCCAAAAAAGGCTGGTACCGCAGACTTTAGGGAGAGAAGGGGGGGGGGAGGACTAGAGGGTACAGCAGACAGCAGGGCAGGGAAAAGCAACAGGGGTAAGAGGTCAAAGCAATCGTTCATGACTAAGAACCTGATCCTCTCTCCCAAGGTAAGGTAGGTAAAGGTAGGTCAAGGTAAGGTAACCCATTGGATTATCGTAGGGTACCGTTAATGGCTATGGTACCGTGTTCCTCACCACGCTGGTACCTATTCTTGACTACTGAGGTACGCCCAGCTACCGAGGTACACCATTGATGGTTAGGTTATACTTTTAATGATCTCCATACTCACGTATTTTTCCTCTTTACGTTCTCAGTAAGTGTATTGTATGTGTCCTCGTCCCCTCCCAGTACTGTCACCCTTTCACCCCCCTTACTAGTACTGTCACCCTTTCACCCCCTTACCAGTACTGTCACCCTTTCACCCCCCTTACTAGTACTGTCACCCTTTCACCCCCTTACCAGTACTGTCACCCTTTCACCCCCCTTACTAGTACTGTCACCCTTTCACCCCCTTACCAGTACTGTCACCCTTTCACCCCCTTACCAGTACTGTCACCCTTTCACCCCCTTTACTAGTACTGTCACCCTTTCACCCCCTTACCAGTACTGTCACCCTTTCACCCCCTTACCAGTACTGTCACCCTTTCACCCCCTTACTAGTCTGTCCATTAAGTGTCATTCAGCTTCCCTCACTTGTAGAGACCTCAATTTCTTTCCCCTTATCCTTCTAACAATCTCCTCCTATCCCTTCATCCCTCCACTTCTGCATTCTTTCATTCTTGAGTTATCTTGAGAATTCATTCATTCTTCCTTCCTCTACCCAAAACAACCCACTCCTTGCTTCACACAACCAACACACATCTTGAGAGACGAGTCTTGTGATGAGCCCCTCTCTCTCTCTTTTCCCCTGCTCATCTTCATTACCCCCACTCTTCCCCCTTTTCTTTATCTCCCCCCCCCCCCTCTTCCCTAGCAAACGTCCAGACGGTAAGTGGAGGAAATGACTGGAGGGGGGCGGACCCCCCTAGTAATGAAGAGGGGGGCGGACCCCCCTAGGTAATGAAGAGGGGGTGGGGACAGCCAGCCGGCCGGGCAGGTAAACACACCTAAGGCAGCGACTGCACCAGGAGACAAGGAGGGAGTGATGGTGGTGATGGTGGTGGTGATGGTGGTGGTGGTGGTGGTGATGGTGATAGTGGTGGTGGTGGAGACACTGCTGAATGGTTAAGCAGACACAGCCCCGAGTCTGCTTAACTATTTACATTATTTTGTTCTATCTTCTGTGTAGTGCCATCTGCGTTCTCTTCCTAAGCTCCTCCCCTTTCGGACCTTCCGCAAAAGAACGCGTTTCAAGGCATGCACTGTACGCTTCGGCAGTCAATTGTCCTATTCCTTGTTTGGGAGTTTTGTTAATTAAGAAGGATTCGAGAGTCCTCCTACTCCCGGAGCACGACGGAGGTGGTGGCAGTGGGAAAGGAGGAGGAGGAAGAGGAGGAGGAGGAGGAGGAGGACGAGGAGAAGGAGAAGGAGAAGGAAGAGGGGGGAATTAAGAGCCTATGAAGAGCCTTGTAACACATTCCTTCACAGCCTATGCAACATAATTATGTTAACCAATTATATATCTAGTTATTCAAGAGCCAACCAGCCTATTTACCCCTGGTAATCACCGAATAGCTTGGCTCGTCTTGTAAACACTCGGAGTGACTGTCTTCTCGCCTAGAAAGTCGCATTTGTAACTATACAAACCAATCCATTAAGTCTGCGACGTATTCATACAAATTAAAACACCGAAATATTGACGTTCGCGATATTGACGATAGGTTCGGTAGGCTTTGAAGTCGTACGGTTCGGGTTAGGCGAAAACAGTTGTATTTTGTACGGAGAGGCGAATCAAAATAGGAAATATGGGCTGGCCTTCCAGTGATATTTCCTTCAGTTGAGACAAAGACTAGGATGAACATTTTATTCAACAAATTCGAACATAGTAGTGGCTGGATTCACCTGTGAGTCAGCAGTCGTTATCGTGTCAGCAGTTGTCAGACATGAGTCATCAGTGAGTCAGTATTCGTTATGAGTCATGAGTCTTGCACAGCATTAATGGTCATACAACTTTCCAGGGACACGGAGGGGGAAAAAAAGCCCCATCAACAAACAAAAGTGGCCCCCCCAACCCCACCCCTTCACACCAAAAGTGGCCCCCCCCAACCCCACCCCTTCACACCAAAAGTGGCCCCCCCCAACCCCACCCCTTCACACCAAAAGTGGCCCCCCCCCAACCCCACCCCTTCACACCAAAAGTGCCCCCCCAACCCCACCCCTTCACACCAAAAGTGCCCCCCCAACCCCACCCCTTCACACCAAAAGTGGCCCCCCCAACCCCACCCCTTCACACCAAAAGTGGCCCCCCCAACCCCACCCCTTCACACCAAAAGTGGCCCCCCCCAACCCCACCCCTTCACACCAAAAGTGGCCCCCCCAACCCCACCCCTTCACACCAAAAGTGGCCCCCCCAACCCCACCCCTTCACACCAAAAGTGGCCCCCCCAACCCCACCCCTTCACACCAAAAGTGGCCCCCCCAACCCCACCCCTTCACACCAAAAGTGGCCCCCCCAACCCCACCCCTTCACACCAAAAGTGGCCCCCCCAACCCCACCCCTTCACACCAAAAGTGGCCCCCCCAACCCCACCCCTTCACACCAAAAGTGGCCCCCCCAACCCCACCCCTTCACACCAAAAGTGGCCCCCCCAACCCCACCCCTTCACACCAAAAGTGGCCTCCCCTGCCCCCCACACACACCAAAAGCGCCCCCCCCTCCCTCAAACCTACACTTCAATAAGGGAGAAACTGTTGGGGTGATGGATGTTGGGTTGGTATTGTGATGAGGGGAGGGAGGGAGGGGAGATAGAGAAGAGAAGAGAACAGGGGGAAGAGATGGAGAGCAGAGGGAGAGGAGAAGCGAGACAGAAGAGGGAGGAAGAGAAAGGAAAGAAGCAAGTAAAAAGACATAAAAATTACCAGAAAATAGAGAGCGACAAAAAAAAATGTAGGACAGGTAGTGAAACAAAAAGGCGGAGGAAAGAGAAAAGGAAAAAAAAAAAAAGATGCATCATAGAGAAAATGAATGATTTATTGATACAATAAATCTTTTGACTACCAGATATAACGTTTCAAGCGCCACATAACGCTCCAATAACGTTCCAATAACGTTTCTATAACGCTTCAAACACGTTTCAATAACGCTCCAATAACGTTCCAATAACGTTTCTATAACGCTTCAAACACGTTTCAATAACGCTCCAATAACGTTACAATAACGTTTCTATAACGCTTCAAACACGTTTCAATAACGCGACAATAACGTTACAATAACGTTACAATAACGCGACAATAACGTTTCAGTAACGTTTTAATAACGCAAGCTAATGACCGCCTTATCAACAATAACGTTACAATAACGTTACAATAACGTTTCAGTAACGTTTTAATAACGCAAGCTAAT